TTTCAAACAGAAAATAGCTGTGTGATTTTATGGATTTTCAGGAATGTATTCCAGATGCTATACAGGCACCATCTTTCCATTCCAGGGATGTTGCGCTCTCTTTAAAACTTGTGGGTTCCTACTGATTAATTCAGCATATGAGACAGTTGGAAGATCTTTCACACATTTGAATCTTTAGCCAAATAGCATTTCTTTTTCCCCCGAGACATCACAACATTATTTCTACAGCCTGGGAAGTGGCATCCCCTCAAATTTGCTTTTTATAACCTTTGGCAGCCTGATCTCATCATATACCCAGCTCATACTGTATTTAGCTAGAGCTGCCTTAGCAGAACTCGTTCATGTATACTAACATTTCTTCAGGCATTTCTAGACACAAACCTCCTGTTGATTTATGGCTTCACACCTTTCTACAATACCTAATGAGGGGTGTTGTGGATTTTGTGTAATAGAAGGCCATGAGAATGGAATGAATAGACTACACTGGTGCATTGCCCAATTTGATTTAACTACACATATCTTAATGTGAAAGTCACCAGGTTTGTGCTGGGACAGCTATGGGGAGGGGAGTACTGTGTTTGGCAGAAATAGCTCAGTGATGTAAGAACTTACTCGGGAGTGTGGTCAGTTGTCATCTGCCTAGGAGGATTCAGGTTGAAATACTTCCATTTTCATTTTGGATAACAAAGATAATTCCTGTTTTACTTTACTGTTAGAGAAATAGCTCCTCTTATTATTTTATGAACATTTCCCAGCTGTTGTCAATGCAGAGCTTAACGAGCTCACTGGAAAGCACTTTCCCCCCTAATTTATTGCTTTTGCTGAAAATTCTGCTCTTGCTTCTTCTCTTACTTGTATTTGACTGTTACTTGGTGCCTCTGCTGCAGGCAGCCTTCCGCTCACTGTTTAAACACTTCATTATTTAATTCCACCAACAGTGGGTTTTGGAGGAAAAAAATTGGGGTTTATAGGTGTAATACTCGGTTTCACTTACCTGGTACGAGGGCAACACTTTACAAATTGCGTGTTTCATGCTGGCCAGCCTGTAGTTTGCCAGCTTTGCTCCCAGCAGAACAGACTGCTTTAGATTTCAGATGCCTGCCCTGCCTTCCTGCGCAGCTGGGACAGCTTGGCGAGTAGTAGCGGTGGCTCTCTGAAAGCTGGCAGTCGTTCACTTCAGAGTTCACAGCTTATAAAAGTCCAGCGGGCAGCTCTGCTTATGGAAAGGGAAGGGAGCAGGTGGGCAGCAATGATCTGCCCTCTCTTGTCTCTCTTCTGGCAAAGAGCGAGTTAGCAATTCCTTTCAATGTCACGGATTGTCGTCCATTGAACTTAGCCCATCTTCTCTGCTTTCACTTTTTTCTTTTTTCTTTTTTTTTTTTTTTTTTTTTTTTTTTTTTTCCTTTTTTTAATTGCTTTCCTTAGATTTGAAGCTCAGGGAAAGGTCCCTAACTTTTTTTTCCTGTGGTGATACCACCTGAGTAGCTGTGTGAGTCATGAAGCAGCGGTACAGCTTCCCACACCGGCTGCCGCGGTGTTCTGCTATCCAGCAGTGTTGCTATACGCACGGTGCTGATGTAGCAAACGCTTACGCAGGGCTTTTTTGGAGGGTGGGGGGGCATTTCTTTATCTTTGTCGTGCTACTGACCAAAGTTTCCTGGAGCTCAAAAAATAAAAAGTAGAGGAACCACGCAACAACACGTCACATAAAATTGTGGGCAGAATATCCCAGTTTGGGCAGGTTCCTAACAACGTAAATAGAAGTGCACATAAGCAAGGCAGAAGTCTCTCCCCATCCTAATTACATTCTCAAGTTTGCTTTTTAAAAAGCCGAATACGTGGAACATATTTCATTAAGTCTGATAGTACAATTATAGTTGCAGTGGTTGTATCTATGCAATGGAGTATAATCTGTGATCTCACTACAGATCTTGTATGAGTCCTCTGCTGTATACAGTACTTTTTTTCACGCCCCTGTTGTTCCTCACTTCGTTTTTGTTCCTCACCCATTACTTAGGAAGCAGCTCAAATAATTCCTTTCTTTAAAAAAGAGTTGCTTTAATTAAAGTTCTATTCAGATGTATATCTTGCAAGTAGTTTTTAGAAAAGAGTGTATTTCTAGAAAATGTTTCCTGAGTCAATTAAATTGGAAGTTCAAGGTAAGGTTTATGTAATTGAAAAACATAAAGGATATCTAAAAGGGAAGATGTATTTATTCATGCCACCTACTAGATTCCATGAGGTGGTATTATCATTGCTATTCAAGTTTTTGAAGGATAAAGCTCTTCTAATACAGTTGCTGTGCTAACTGGATTTCTGAAGAATAATTTTTGTAGGCTTTTGTTAGTATGAGGAGGGCTCATTAAACAATAGTAAAAGGAGGTGACAATATAGTACTGGAATGCATATTTGAAGAAGTGGTTTCTTGGAAACGAGGCAAAAATTTTCATAATTCCCTTAAAATGATTTTTCATGTATGGTGAGTTTCATGGACTGTACAGTGTATTATGGATGTAATGAAAATTGATTGCGATTGAAAATTTAGTTCTGACATTTCCACTTAATTGCATTTTAAAGCAAAAAAATCTCAGTGGACAAAATTCTTTGTTCTGTAGAGACCTGTACAACCTTAAAAAAGTTAAATGAAGGCAATGCTTATTATGAAGAATATTCAGTTTAACTTTTTTCCCCCTAGCTCTAGTTATAGTCCCAGAAGATATGGCAAAACGTTAAAGCTGTGAAATAACATTAAAATGCCATTTAATGTGTCAAGGGAAACTTTGTTAGTGTGGGGTTTTTTGGTTTTTTTTTGTTGTGGTTTTTTTTTTATCTGAGGGGGAAAAAAATAAAAAGATTTGAATAAAAGCTTTTCTTCTGTAGTGCTCACAGGTTTTCAAGTAGATGGAGAGGGCTGTTGCTAGCAGCAGACTGTACCAGATGCAGCACTGCCTGGGGATGCGAGCTTTGTTTGCTGGAGACAGGGCTTATTGTCTTGCCTTGAGGCATTGGGCTGAGTCTGTTAGGCTATATAAGTAGTGGGGTTTCTCCTTTGAGTTAGTGGAGTGTCACATGGTGCTGGATGACATTTTTAGGTAATGCATGAAGTAGGATTTTTTTTTCTTTCACTTGCATATGTAGAAGTAGGTGACCTCTATTAAAGTTTTGCAAAACCCTTAAATATTTACCACTGAAAGAAAAGAAGGTTTGCAGATTTTGGAGGCATGTTGCTAGGTTCCCTGCCTAAGAAATGTACTGAATTAGTATTTTATCATAGTTCTTTATCCACAGAAATATTATCAAGGAAGAGATGAAAGGATTTGCATTTATATCTTATACCTTACCATTCAAGTAGAGGACCAATGAAGTCTCTGTGTCATGAATGTCTGAAGATTTCCTGAAAGTCCCACTAAACCAAAACTGAGTTTTTTATAGAGATTTGCTGCGTTTATATTAGCTATGGGGTAATAGGCATAATAAATTTACATGTTATTTCACACTTGTCTGTGTGTAGGATATTTAATTTTTTCTTTCAAAATACCTCATTTTAGTGCAGCAGCCAACAAAAAGTATTTGGCCTGTGATCTCCTTTAATAGTACAATTCATGTGTTCTTGTGAGATTTCATTTGTAAATAAATTTGTCCATATTATGAGCATGAAGTGGAAGTTGTGAGTAGCGGAACCATGTGTGGTACCAGTCTTCCTTAAATTTGCATTTGCTGGAGATCTCCAGGTACTCAGTGTAGCAGCCTTGTGCTTGTTGAACATCACTTTCTTGGGTGCGTTCAGCTTGGAGACAGCTCACACAAGCTGAAGGGTATAAAATTCTCTCAGTAATTGTGTATTTTGGATAAGATAATTTTTCTGAAAAATGTTATGACATGTCTTAGCCTGTTCCAACATAACAGTAAACACTTCATGGATCCATATATTGCTGGAGAAAATAGGGATTTACAAGGTTCCAGTTTGACAGAAGTCTGCCAGGAGGCTGTGATACAGCATCCAACTGTGAAAGATAGTTCTGAGAGCAACCCATAATATGTCAGACCTAGCAAATCTGCTAAAATTATTCAGTGCTTCTCTTCTTTACTGTTTTGCACATTATAATGCAGTAGTCGTGTTGGGTTAATGTGTTAATGGATGATCTTCAAAGTTTAATGAACGTAAGCAGGTTTTGCATCTCATTCTTTTGTATGCAGCCGATAGTTTTGTTCAGGGCTTCCTGTGGTTTCAAGATTCAGTGATGGCTTGATATTCAGAGTTGAATTCAAAGTGATTCAAAATATTACTAACAAAATGAACAGTGTCAACTGTATTTTGTTTTCCTACTTGATGCTAAGGTAGTATCAAAGTTAAAGGAATTATTTAAGTTAATATCCAGACAAATGTTTCTCTGCCAAAGGCAAGCAGCTCAAGCTTGAAAATGCTCAACATGATTTTAAGTAAACATTTACTTAAAATCTTTTTAGTCAATGCACATGTAAAAGTAAATAAACACTTGTAAGTAAACATCAGAAGACTGATGTAAGTGGTTGTTTCTGACTGGTACTACATAAATGTTTATGTTCTGAGCCAGTGGTTCCTATCTGCCCTATCTGCTGGCCCTTGCATTCTGTCTAACTTTTCTTGAATTGCACTTAGTATCTCTGTCCCATCTTTCTTGACCAGATTCTCTGCGATCGTTGTGGCAAATAAAGGTTAACTGAACTTGATTAGGGCTTTCAATGTTGTACTTTTGTCCAAGATACACAGTGGTAATGGTCTCTGCAGGTTCTCCCAAACTGAGGCGTGTGGGCTGTAGCCTGATAGCTTCCTATGGGGTTCTCTTGGTATGTTGGTCTGTTTGGTTTCTGAGGCTCAAATGTGTACAAGTTACTTCTGATTTGGGAGTGTTTTTTCACCATGGTTGCTTTCCTGCATCAGGTACACAGTATGACTACTCTGAAGTTGAAAATAATCAATTTTGAAAATATTAACACACTGTCTTTCTGTCCTTCTTTAGGAAAGCCCAAGAAGGGAAGAAGAAAGTGGTTCTAGCTGGCTGTGTGCCACAAGCCCAACCTCGTCAGGACTACCTGAAAGGCTTGAGTATTATAGGGGTATGTATCTTTATCAGCTGGAAACCAGAGGTTTTCATAAAAGTTTTCAGTAGGTCAGTGTCTATATATAGACTTTGTGGCCTTTCTCTTGGAAGAAGTAGCAGGGAAGCTCGGTACCCCCGTTAGTTGCCTTGCATCATACCGCACTTAAGCCTTCTTTCATCCAGGGTGATCTGGTTTGGTAGTGGCACGATACTGTTGGTGGAAGCGAGTTCCGGTGCCCTTTGTAACCTGAAAATATCCAGGCATCATCCAGGATGAAGAAGATATCCATTGCCATATTCTTTAAAATATCACTGTTTATTTGCTTTAAGCCAAAGTAGTACACCCTTTGTTAAAATCAGTGGAAGAAATGTCAAAGACTAGAGCATATAAATTACATGGACACAGCTGAGGGTTTGGTGGTTGTCTTCTTACTTCTGTTCAGGCTACCAAGCAGAATGGCAAATAGCAATGATTATTTTGTCTAAATTTGAGGCAGTCTGAAGAGTTAAATCCACCGGTGACTGAGTTGTTATGCAGTTACTGAGCTTCACCTTGAAAAGGTAACCAGAGAGCTTTTGACTTCATTCGGGTAGTAAAGTGTGTTCAGTATCCTTTGGGATGAAGTGCTACTGTGTAATTGAATCACCTTTGTAAAATAGTCCTGAAAATCCAGGAGTCAAAGCACAAGCTAACAAAGATCCTTCGTTGTTCAAGCCTTTAGATTAAAACTGGGTCAACTTGTACAAGGCTTGTTGGAACTGAAGCGCTGGCACTGGATTCAGCATGTGAGAATTACGGTGAGGCTGTCCTGTATCACGTTCAGTCAGAGCAGATGACTGCAGCATCGTTTCTGCCTTACAAATGCGGAGAGGTCAACGTGTTTCTACTTCAGCGTTATTAATTCAGGTTGAAACTTAAGGTTTTATAGGAACAACAACAACAAGGTTCCAAAGCTTTCACTTTCATTAGATCACACAAGATGCAGCTGTTCAAAGTAATTTTGAAGTAAAAAAATAGTTTGTTTGGAATTTAAAGAAGATGGCTTCATTAGCTGATTTACTGGAATTCTTTATAAAGATGGACTTTATACTATCAGAATTCTTAATTAATTACTACTGTCACTCAAAATGTTTTCTCTCAGTTTTTTTCTCAGCTGCCATTCTCAGCTACGTTAGTGCCTATAAATTAATTCAGTGCCCAGGAGTGATACTCAGGGGCTGTAAAATGCCACGCTATTCTGTATAGATGATATTGCATTGGTAGTTACAGCTTAAAGGAAGAATCAAACTTTCTGTTCCACGCTTCAGTCTTACCTTACACAAATATATGCAAGAGAACTGTGGTGCTCTGTCATGCCTAAGACTCTGACTAATTAAGTGCTCTGTGCAGCAGGATAGGAAAACCAAAAAATAAATGGTGAACGGATTTCCTCTTGGCTCAGAGGCAACACAGTTATGTGGTCTGTAACTGGTCGTTATAGTGAATGTAATGATATCTACACATAGGAAGAGAAAGGAAGAAAAATGAGTGAGTCACTATCCTTTGACCAAGACTGTAATTTGATGTTTCAGTTTTGGTGAATTTAACTTAGGAAATTTGGGGGACCAGAAGTGTGGTATTTTTTTTTAATAATTTTTTTTTTAAACTTGCCTTTATAGGTAACATGTAATTTCTGAAAATTAGCCTTTTTTTCATCTTCATTTTGGTACCTAGAACCAGTGTTTAGTGAAAAATATTTGTAGTTTTGTATTTGTTAGAGAAAAATTTCTGTTAGGAGTTGAATTAGGCTGTTAATGCAGTGTTCCCAAGTACTTTTGAATTGGACCTGAAAATACTGAAATGTGATCTTTGCAAGGACCCTGTCTTCTAACCATCATTGCTGTGGTAAAACTTACTGTACCTTAAATAGTAGATGCTTCAGCTCAGAAAGGCCTTAATTTTAGGCATAACTATTAACAGAAGCAAAGCTGAGAGCAGATATTGTCCATGTTTTCAGTTTGTATATTTAAGATTTCCTTCTCATTTTACAAAGAGCATGTGTGAGGGAGTGACTGTATTTAAAGGATAAGAGTTGTTATCTTACTATTGCAAAATATTTTTGAAAGGCAGTTTTGACAGAGTTGAGAAATAGAAAATGTTCTGTTGGCAGTAGGATATTGATTCTGCTTTAAAATTTTAAGCATTAAGAGTACACTTTTCAAAATCTTGCTTTACCACCAGGTTGGTCTCATCTTCAACTTGGCTGAGAGACAGAGCTGATTTATTGTTGCTTATGTAAGCTCTGCTATTTTTTTTTTTCTTTTTTTTTTTCCTTCTTGACCCACAATGTTGTCTGAGAATGTGGTTATTTACCAGCAATTATAACTCCCTTGGGGCAGCTTTCTTGAAGGCAGAGTGTGTCAGAGGCCTCTTCTGCTCATCTTGTCATGACGGAGGGGGAAGTTGCGATGTGGCTGCTAGAGAAGTTCTAGTAACTCGGGGCTTGTTTTGATCTGCACTTAGAAAATACAGGACTGAACTTCCACTCTTCTTTATTTCTTTCTTTATTACTTGATTTGGGCAGAAGGGAAGGAAGGGCAACTTCATATCCCTGTTATGCTTTGCAACGTTACTGTGCTTTTGTGTTTCTTTAAAGTCATTGCCACGTTTTAAAAATAATGTGGGTTGGGGTGTTGCCATAGGCAGTATGTAAGCCAAGACATAATGTAACATGGCAAGGTAAAGGAGCTGTTTTCTGGAAGGGAGAAGCTCTAGGTAGTCATAAACCTGCCAAGTGTGAAGTGTACACAGAACACATAATACTGCATTACATAGATTCATAGCCATTTAAGCTCAGGTGGTTTCCAAAGCTTACTCCTTTATGTTTGGAGTAGTGTACCCACTTCAAACTCAAATGCACGTATGGTATTGCAAAGAGAAATCAACTCTTGTAGAGTTGTCCCTCACTTTTCTTTGTAAGTTGCTAAAAAGAAGGATATGTGACTTTGTCTATCCTGATTGTTTTGAGGGGATTATAGGGGGAGGGAAGGGAGTGACAATCAGGAATGAAAGATATAGCAGACAGGTTATGTTCTGGGACATAGGATGTTGGTAGTCGTAGTGATGTAGGTAGTCGTAGTATTTCCTCACTTCCTGAGCTGCGTACAAGCGCATGCAAACCCCTTCTTCCCAGTGATAAGTTGAACCAAAGCAATGAGATGAGATGTTTTGTTTCTTTGACATTTGTCTGGAGTTTTAACATATTTTGCTGTCCAAATGATGCTATGTGTTGGAACCACTGACCAGTTTGCTAAGGGTTCATAGTTCTTAAGATGCTTCACAAGACCTGTGTAGCTGTGCTTTGAAAGCATCAGACTTACTGGACATACTGAAAGCATGGGGCCTAATGCATGTATATATCCTGTTAAAGGTATACAATAGCTCCGCTGGTGAGTGAATCTCTTCTCCTCCTGAATGAGAACGTCAGCCCCAATTCTCCTTCCTTCCCCATCTTTCCCAATGTAACATCTAGCATCAAAGACCTGTCACCATCTCCTGTAAACCCATTTTTCAAGGGAAGAATGTCAGTCTGTTCTTTCATCTGCACAAACTATAGCCAGTGTCACCAAGGCTGTAATCCCCCCTCTGCTGCTCCGTTTCAAGTCAGAAGGTGCAGGTCCTGCGCATGGTAGAGTTACTGCAAGCTCTTTGGCCAAGTTGGGCGTAAAGCCGCTGCTTCCAGGAGAAACACACAGCCATGAAAACTCCTTTGCAGGGGCTCCCTGCCTTCCCCTGACCTCCAAATAACCCTTTTCTGTGGCTGTTCTGCTCTATAAGGCAAGCTTTAGATAATTTTTTTAATTTCCAGTTTGGAACTGTGGAGTGTGATTCGTGGAAGTGCTGAACTCCCAGTAGCAGCACATAACACTAGGAACACTTCTATAAAGTAGATGGTTCGGTATAAAAAATGCTAAGTACGTTACAAAAAATAGGCACTTGACTTCTCAAGCTGTACATCTATAATCGGTATACGCTTTTAAATTTAACGTGCCGTAGCTCTCCATTTGTAAAACCCTTCAGCCAGCAGAGCTTTAACAGTGCCATTGTGAAAGAAAATCAGTGTAACCTTACCAAGATGCCAAATGCCTGTATATCCCTGCTGCTTTGGCGTCCTAAATGAGGATGATATGTTTATGATATTTCTGATGTTCAGTTCGTACAAGTTGCAGTGATTGCAAAACAGAGGTGATGATACTTCCCTACCTTGCAGTGTTTGTAAGGTCAGACTGCATTAACGATTGCAAGCCTCTCTGCTGCCCTTAAACTGGAGCCTTGCACAAATGCAAATATCCGATGTGTACTTCATGAAAGACAAATTTGATGGGATTTTATTTTGAATGATTTGAATTAGCAGAACTTCTTGGAAAGCGTGCTGAAAGCCTTGGGAACAGGTGCACACTGTTCTTCTGTAACTTACGGCCAAGAATAATTTCATGCAAAATTCAAGCTCAGTCAGTACCTCTCCGCTGGTCAGCTTTGGCTTTTGAATTGCCATACTGATATTCAGATACGACGCTTGAACCTGGAAGGTCAGGAAAGAATTGCAGTTAAGCATCTGCTTTTAAACTGAAAATTGGACATGCAGATAGAAACTGTTCATTTCCACAGCAGTTACGTGCTGTCCTGTGAATTGAAAGGTGTAGGAATTAATTTGGATAAGAATTACAATTCAGCTGCATCAGTGTTTAGCAATGGAAATCAGTTGTTTATGTGCTTTTCTGGGGTAGCCTCCTTCCCTTTAAAGTTTGCTCTCAGAATACCTTCCTAAACCAGAATACTGCCCATTACTAGGGTCAGTGTTGTCAGCAAAGGTTTTAAACGCAGATGTTATCCCTCTGAAGCCAAAGTGGCTAGTCACATGCCTTTTGAAGTTATGTATTTATGCTGCCTAAGTGCTGTAATTTGAGAGTCTGTTTTGCTCAGCTCCCTTTACGGTCAGTGAAGATAATTATCTCTAAGGTAATTTAGATTTTTTGAAGATCTAAAGTGACTTTTTGAAGCCACGTATTTCCCTTTTACTGGCTTTAGAGAGAGGATAGACTGAGTAGGCTTTTAACATCCAACATCTGACAGAGCTGCCTAAACAAGGTGAGATGAAACTGAGAGTTGGTGAACTGGAGTTAAAATCTTTAGGATTACGAGTAGCAGGTTGTAATTACCTAAAATTATTTTATCTGTGAAGTACTGATTTGTTTCTTGTTGATGTGAATGAAAATCAAAGATGTGTAGGGTTTTCCCTAGATGAGAAAAGAAGATTGGTTTACTCCAAGTAGTTACATATATGTATTTTTGCTCACTCCCAGGGTGTTGAGGAGTGGCTGAGTGCTGATGAAGTTGGTTTCAGCAGTAGCCTCACGCTGTGCAGACAAGCTGCTGCCCTTTCCCATACCGTGGGTACCCTGTCCTCAGTTTCTCTCAACCATTAGCTAAGGGTTTAGTTTTTTGTTTGTTTTGCAATGTTTTTTCAATAAACATTTCCAGTCTTCAAGAGTTCTGGTCTTTGTCCCTCCTTCACTGGCTTCAAAATCTTTTTTTTTTGATAGTTGCTTTCTGGTACTTGATGTGCTTAAGCATTGCTTGTGTTGCCTCCAAGAAATTTCTCTCTCTGGGAAACTCAGTTGCAGTGCCATGGGAAGGGCAGTTGAAGGAGGCTCTGGGAGTAATTTCTTGAAAGAGTCATCACTGTCCTGTCAACATCAGACAAGCTTTAACCTTCAGACCTCCTGTGGTGGAAGGACATTTCCGCCCATGCTGAAATGAAGTGGGGTGTGGGGAGCAGCTGCCTTCGCTCTGGGGAGGGTCCCTGAGAAGGCTGGATATGATGAGGACTTAGGTGCTGTTTTTAACCAGTCCAAATATCTACCTACAAAATGCTTCTGTCCATATTTCAGTGGACACATTAACCCTGAAAGTATATTTATTTCACTGTAAACCATGTATGAAGTGTTGTCTTCCCTGATGACAGTGCAGGGTGTTTGCAGAGGTCTTGGTGCTTCCCTGAAGAGATCGTCAGAAAGCTCCTCTTACTTTCTTGATAGGTTCATGGATGCACTTTTCTAGATAGCTTGCTTTGGTCTGAGGCTCACTGACTTCTACAGAGTACAAAATCTCAGGTAAATGTGCAACCTCTCGCTTAAATTCCCATTAAGAGTATTCAGAGTTCATGGGAGCTCTCTCAGAGGTTATGTGTTTTCCAGAGTCCATCTCCTGCAAAACAGTTTCGGTATGTTAATACCGGTTCTGAGACAACTTGGACCACGTCTGAGAGCCTGGAAGAATTTCTGTGACCACCCTCAACATGCATGTCTGTCTGCACTCGGACATCACCTAGCGTGAGCCTGCAGACATGGCACGCTGCGAGCGTGTCTTTGGGCTGTTTGCACCTAGAAGTCATCTGTTGGATGCCATCGTGACCGTACGAAGGGAACTGGGGGACTTCCTCTGATGACAGATGGACCACGTGTGCATTTCTGTGCTCCTCTTGCTAATTACCGGTGCTTAGTGTCACAGATCTCATTATCTCTCAGACCTATAATAATAATTACTTACATGAACAGTCTTCTTGACAGATACATACAGAATAATTTAGTTTATCCAATAAAACGGAGATACAATATACTTGTTGGGTTTTTTCTGTATCTTTATTTACAGGGGTTTGGAACCATGCAAAAATTCCCCAGATGTACAATACAGAAAGTAATCATAGGTGGTTCAGGTTATGAACCAACAAGGTTTCTTTTGTTTTAAAATGATTATGAACTTAAACAGCTCAGTATTGAGATATGTAGCAACAATACATTAGGCAACGTATTTGACACAGACTGTGTTCTCTGTACTTATGGTTGTAAATGTGTACACTTCTTTTTTCAAGTTGCATTTTTTATTTATTTTTAAAAAAATTACATAGAAAGTCTATATATAACTATCTTGGGTCATAATTTTTTAACTTCTGTCTAAAAGGGATATGCACGCAAGTTTGTAAATAAGCATGTGTTCCACACAAATGCTTACATGTGCTTTCTTTACAAGTAGATTGCTAAGTATTGATGTATGTCTGTAACAGGAATGCTTGTAATCCAGAAAATGATTTAAATATATATCTTTTTATAAGGTTATTAAAATGCCAATATTAATGATATGTTAATTGCTAGAATTTATAATGAATATGCTGTATTCAGAATCGTGAAGTGGCAGAAATTTGTGTCTAGAAAAGACTGTATTTCCAAAGGGTTAAAAAGAAAAAAAAAAAAAAAAAGTAGTTTTACAGTGACTTTATCCAACATGCAGACAAGAAGAGGAACAGACTCCCACTGACTTTAGTTGGGAACTCTAGATTAGACACCAACTACAGATGAGCTTTTTTTTCTAGTTGCTATTAGACTGATTGAAAAATGAATGTGAAATAGAGATGTTTGTGCAGATGTGTTTATAGGGAATTACAAACTAGGTGGTTTAAGGGCAGAGACTTAATGGCTTTGATGCAAGGGATCTGAGTTCCAGGCTCCTTGTTGCAGACCAGGTTCTGCTCTTGAAGCCTCTGCAACTTGTGCTTTTCTCCTTGCTTTTGAAACAAACTGGAAAAGAAACTCCAAGGGATTGACTACAAAAATCATACTAAATCTATTTCATATAATGTACAGCTTAGAGAAGCAGTGTTTAAAAAGGAATATCGTGGAAAAATTATAAACTAATTTATATGTACAAAGTAGGTCTTTCTGAATTTGGCTTTCCTGCAATATATGTAAGCATATATATATATATGTGCATGTACAGTAGACATTACATAGAATATGCAGTTTGGATGAAAATTGGAGGAAGAATCTCAAGTTTCAGAATTTCTGAGTGTTTAATTTTGCAGTGTTAATGCTGATTCCTTCTACTTAATATACCAAAAGATCTATGTAGTATATTGGCCATTAACTTTAAATAAAGAATAATCTGTCTAATAAGAAATAATTGAACTATTTATCACATTATGAGTAAATTTTGGGAAATGTAACACAAAACCATACATTTTTTATCTTTGTTAGTATGTCACGGTCATTAAATGTTGTTCTGTCTTGTGAAAAGCATCAGGGCTTTTCCTTCCATTTCCAAACACTGCCTGCAGTAAGTTCAGGACAAATACCACAGTATTTTTAATTTCTTTCCATGTCCCAGTGTCTTTCCCCTGCAATACTTCCTTCAGTTTCTCCCCTATAATCTGCCCTCGGGATATCCTCAGCTTCTTGTTAGATTCTCTATCATCTGCTATTTTGGTGTTGAGGCTGGGGAGAGGGAGCGCTTCGGGGCTGTTTGAGCCACCCAGCTGCTGACTGCCTGGGTGACCGTTGCCTCTCACAGACCATGAACAGCGGTTAAGGCCTGAACTCTTTTCTAGGGTGATTTTTTTATTGGTGATTTTTTGCCAAACTTACTGGAACTTGCTATTTTTAAGGACAAAATTTGGTTTAAGTTAGGTGGTGAGTTTCAAAGTTACTTTTGGCAGATGAACCAGGATGCACAGAAAAAAAAATGGCTTAAAACATAGCCCCAAACTCTTTACTCCCCCTTAATCCATAAGAACACACTTTTGAACAAAGAGTTTATATAAAATATGTCCAGTTGTTGACTACTTAGACATTGACCTTCTGACTTTTTTTAGGTTCA